TAATATCCTCCTGCCCCAGCCTCCCAAATTGTGGAGTTACACGGTGTACCACCACTCCCAGCTCATCTTGGCTATTGTGAGACTGATACAATTGGAAGACCAAAATAAAAAATATATGTATATGAGGATGTAGCTCAGTGCAAAAGTCCCATGTATGGGCTGGCCAAATAGCTGAGCAGATTAAAGCACCTGCAAGCAAGTGCAGAGGCAGGGGGTTCACTCCCCAGACCTGCCGTGTTGGCCCTGCTCCTGCTCCAGGGGCACACTGAAATGGTGATTGAGACTGGGATGGTGGCGCATGCCCCTAATCCCAGATCTTGGAAGGTTACTGTAAACAGGCCGATCACTACAAGTCCAATCTAGTAGTGAGACCCTGAACACCCTGTAGAACCTTCCCTAAAATAAAATAATAAAAAGTCCCATGTCCTATCCCAGGATTTAAAAAAAAAGTTCTGGAACAATAACCAAAATATTGAGATTCATAATTGGGTCGTGAAGAATCACTTGGCGTTGGGCCAAAGAGATAGCTCAGCAACCTGGCAAATGCAAGGTCCTGAGTTCAATCTCTGGTATCAATAATAATAATAATAATAATAATAATAGTAATAATAATAATTGAGGTCAAGGTAAGGTGGGAAAACTAGGTTTATTTGTGGTCCCAGTTATGTGGCCCTCCCCAGCCTCCCCATACTGGCTTTCAGCAAAAACAATTATGTAGAGCTCTCCCTGTCTAGTGGAAGTTACACAGTATGATTAGAAAAGATGATAAATGCTTAAATTTTTTTAAATTTATTATAGTAAAAGGAATATTGCCATTAGCGCCCATCACTTCAAACACACTTCATTTTTCTTTCCACTTTCTACAGTGGTTCTGAAAATCCTCCTTTGTGAGTGTCGTCAGCTGTGCTGTCGTGGTTGCCTCAGTGTACTGAATCTATTCAAGTCATTTACCTTTCATAGTATTTTGGAGAACAGCCAGAGAGGTACAAGGTGCCACATCCAGTGAGTAAAGTGATATCACACCCGTAAGGGGACTTCCACCTGCTTTGGAAAGTGCCAAGAGCCAGGCGTGTTGGTGCACAATTGTATTCCCAGCATCTGGTCAAGGCCAAATCCACTTTTTTTTTTTTTTTTTTTAAGTACAGGGTCTACAGGGTCTCACTACACAGATTGGACTTTAGTGATCCTCCTGTTTTCAGACTCCACTGTGTTGAGATTACAGGCACATGCCACCAGGCCTGGACTTGGTCGCCCTCTCAATGAGCCCCCAGGGGTGGGGCCAGCAAAGCATACTGGGGATTGAACCCTGGTCTCTGCATCTGCCTAAACAGGTGCTTTAATCTGCTGAGCTATCTGGCAGGCTTTCATTTTGTTGTTCTTGTTTGTCTTTGTTCTTGTTTCAGACAGGGTCTTGCTGTGCAATCTAGTTGGTCTTGAGCTCACTTTGTAGCCCAGGCTGGTCTCAAACTTGAAAGATCCTCCTGTCCCAGCCTCATGAGTGCTGGGATTAGAGGCATGCCCCCAACATGCCTGGTACTTTTTTTTTAAGTTTAAACATTCATCATGTATTTTGATAACTCTTATATGCTCAGTTTAGTTCTCTGGAATCCCAGATTCACACCAATTAGATGAAACCTTTTAATCAAAAATTGTCAAACAAAGAAACAGCTCTAAGAATCAGAAAAAATAATAGCTCTCTCACATATTAAACTAACCAGAATATAAAATGTAACATTTTTTAAAGAAATAGAAGAATCACAAATGAAAACCAATAAGAAATTACCGTAAAGAATGGAACAGGGCTGGTAAGATGGCTCAGTGGTCTAAAGCACCTACTTAGAACAAGCTTAGC